AAGAGGTGAGGTTAGGTAAAATAGATTTTAACGTCGCGTTCAAGATTATTGCACTTATATAGCGACGTGCATGCACGTGTGTGTGTGTGTGTGTGTGTGTGTGTGTGTGTGTGTGTGTGTGTGTGTGTGTGGCTGCTTGTACTAGTCCGGATTGATGCCGATTTATAGTGCTAGCTCACTGAGATAGCATGCCGCAGTTTAACATGATACCCCACTCAGACACAGTATACTGAATCCGAGTTGACCAGTCCTTGTTTTAGCCCCTTAATGTCGAGCGCCGGACAGGGTAACAACAAGTAACGTAACGTCTTTTGGTATGACGCGGTCGGGGATCGAACCCTGGACCTTCCGCTCTCCGGGCGGTCGCTCTACCACTAGACCACGGAGGCGGTCGCAAAAAATAAGAACAATTGTCAGGACTATACAAGAAAGTCTAGCAATCTAGAAAATGAGAAAGTGCACAACTTCAACTGACGGCCAAAAGAAACTTTACCACCTTAAAAATGACAACAATGCTATTTGCAGAAAGTAAAATACTTCCACGTTTTTGTGTGTGTAGAAAATGCGAAAAGTAAAAAGCACGTACCGCTTGTGCAGCCCAAACTACACGTTTCATAAGGGTATATAAATGTGGGTATGATGCAGATGGGAACTTTTGGTTGCTCCCGTGTTGCTGTAACTAACCTCATGCAAAGTTACAGACAGACCGGGCAGACATCAGACGTGCGAAAAACAGGCAGACCCAGGGTAACTATGCCCAATGAAGACCGGCACTTGCGTACTTTCCGGAACCGATTCCTGACAGTGACAGTCATCAGCGACGAATGCCTTAGGGCATATGATTAGTCGACAGTCAGTGGCGAGGCGATCCTGGGCTCCAGGAATTAGGGTTTACAGACCTTACAGAGGACAGTCATTGACATCGCATGCGCAACGTCGTCGTCAGAGATTGAGATGGGCTCGGGGTGTACGTCGTTAGCAGTGACGTGTCTGGCAGAGGGTCGTCTTCACTGATGAAAGCCGGTTTTGTTTGTTCAGAGCTAATGGAAGACGGCGTCTTTACCGCCGAAGGAGAGAACGAACGGCGGCATATTGCGTTCAGGAGGTCGTGCCGTATGGTGGAGGGGTTGTTATGGTGTAGGGACGAATATGGCAGGAGAGAATACCAATGGTCATCGTTAACGGAAATTTGACAGTTTAGCGTTACATGGTTGATATTTTCGTCCGATTGTCCTACAATTTCTATAACAGGTGCCACTTGGTGCCATTTATCCTGCTTCACCGATGGCACCCATCACAAACACATGCTAAGACACACAAGACCAAATAGCGTCCATTCCAATTTGTGTGGCCTGTTTGTAGTTTAGTAATTATTCTGTCGATTTTTGGGGATGGGTGTAGTATTTTTGGTTTATTTAGGGTTTTTTTTGAGTACTTTCCTGATTTGGCTATTTAAGTTTTGGTATATATTTTGCCATTTTTTGTTGATTTTTTGTTTAGTGAGACTTTTGATTTCTGATTTTGAGCTTGTTAAGTTTAAGCTTATTTCTGGGAGTTTAAGGGATAATTTTGCTGCTTTATCTGCCTTTTCATTTCCAAAGATTCCTACGTGGGCGGTGGTCCAAATAAACTCTATTTGTTTACCTGCCCTAGTTAAGTTGTTTGAGCTATTGAGTATTTGATGTATTAGTTTGGGGTGGTTTTTAGTGTTTTTATTTTTGAGGGCTTGTAGTCCACTGAGGGAGTCGGTTAGGCAGCTGCCATTCAATTACACAACAGACGGTCGTCTAGACGGCTCACGTGTAAGTGCGCCGACATGTACCTAAGATCATAAAATGGACAATCTTTGGTAACATCTAATTTATTGTTGTCTCACGCCAGAGCTGTGAATAATTCTGTTCATTGAACAGTTGGAATTCAGGAAGTTATCAATAATTGTTTTACTTAACATAAGATAAGATAAGTTGTTTACAACATAATATTATGATGTCAGGACGTACTACAGTCAAAACCATATATTTTAAAATCAATTTAATGACAGACTATGATTTCCAAGTCCCGATTAGCCAATCAATGGGGTATCAGTTTCACCACATGTGCACAGACCCCCTATACTTATATATATATTTTTCATAACTATTATCCAGTTAAAGTCCTATCCTCTGTGAGAGTGATTATCATCAACGAAACTCCTTCTCGTCAAAGAATACAGAACAAATGAAGAATCAGATGCATACATTTATTGCCATGCTTCATTCATCACGAAGTAGATTTACATACATTTGTGCATAGCACTCAAACTGTGATGATGAATTTTACCATTGTCCATATTATATTATAAATATTAACCATAATATGGATTTCCGAATATATAAACGACTCCAACGTTGATATTTCAGACAAAAACAAAGTCCGCTGTCTTTTAACGTTCAGGGGAAAAGGGTTTGCTTTCACAATTGAACATTTGTTTTCACCAAAGGACAATCAAATCAAGCCAAAAACACGAAAAATACACATATATGGTTAGCGACCGCCATTATACAGCGAGGGGGAAAATTCGTCTGCTCTAACTGCCTTCACAAATACATTCCAGCCCTTAATTACCGAGGCAGCTGTGACGTAGTAGCATTACATTCGCTGCGTTTGCAGCATATAAGATGTGTAATCTGTTGAGTGACTAAAGTAATATTACGGCTGAAATCTTACTTGCATGGTTGTTTTAATAGAAAACTTACGGTTTAAAAACACAATTGTTCTTATATAATGTTTTTAGGTTTGGTTTATAAATACAAGAGAAGATTTTTTATACATATAAAACTGGTCGAACATACAGCTGAACAATAGAAAAAATAAAAATATTAGTTGTGAATAGTGACAAATTTTAATTACATCACCGTGTCAATAATTATTGATTGATTCCGTCAAACAACTGTCAAACCATTTATTGCCATGTACGTACATGTACACAGGAAGTCGGCGCTGTCGGAGGCTCCAGGTAAATAAACATCGTGGTTTTATGACGGGAGATCAGACGAACCGTGAACCAGGGGCATGCGACGTAATTACACCTAAAGGTGGTAGAACCAGGGTATTGTCTCTTGGACTGGCTAATTGACCGTACGTATAATTGGCCGATCCGAACAGTCAAGCTGCGATCTCGGAACTGAATCCAATTGCAAGCGGAGACAAGGTTACTTCCCTTACCCAAACATGATCGTTGCTCAGAAATGTTCAAATCTATCCTCAGTAAATCATGAAATTAATGCGAGCATGACATTTATGCGTAAAATGCGATCGTCAGTCCCTCTGATTATTTTAATATGTTTCATTTCATCATGATAAAAAAGTTAGTCACTTATAAGGTTTCCACGTTGAAAATGGAAACGATCGTTAACAAAAACAACAAAATGTATTCTCTCATCACTCAGCCTAACAGTGATATAACTGCAAATTAAACAATCAAGTACGCTAAAGTATTACACATGGTGGGTGGAGGACCAGGGGCACTTTGAGTTTGACAGGTGTCATCAACTGGTCAAGTAACATCACGGTTTGTATATATATTCACGTTGATTGGACAGTCTAGACTGGCGCCAACTAATCATGACGGCGTTTTCAGAACAGAACAGAACAGAACTTTATTTCTCCCAGGTATAGGCTTACGTGGATAACGGAAATTTTGTTTAAGTGATAGCACATTTGTAATTCAACCTAATATACTTTCCTTGATTATATGGCTGCGGTCGTAGATCCGGATGTATCTAAATATGCTCAGTATATACACAGGGTTTATTGTTATACTATTAGGATTAATAGATACAATTGAGTATTTATACCCTTGATCATAAAGTTAGTCACTACTTTCACATTTTGATTTGTATGATTTGTGTTATGATTAAATTGACAAAATAAGAAATCATTCCGTGTATATGTGTATTATATATTGTACCCCAATACGTAATTAAATTGTGTATAAATAAGGACACTAGGTAAATTACTGTAATTGATTATTTGATAAACATATTCACATTTAGTTGCGCGATATGTCACAGAGGTAAAGCTAATTCATAACAACTAATTGTCCCATTTATTTGGCTTCTATCTTTTATATGAAACAAATGCTATAACATCGGGTGATAAACTTCATTGGCAATAGACGTAGCATATAATTGTCCGCATGAACAGTCTACTCTGTTCCAGATATGTTTATTCATTTTGTCAGCATTTAAATCGTTGCATTCCTGGCTCAATGATTCATTTGACGAAATCTTGTTCCCTATTTTGAATTACCGTCAGATAGTTCCAGAACAATTATAAAATTTCCAGCCCTATGTGTTGCGCAGAATTCCGAGATAATTCGAAGTTCATATTCTTGTACGAACACTTGTACTATTATTAACATATGTATATTAGTTCAAATTATAATAATGAGGCCCTCTATAATGTCGAAACGGTCTTTGTTCTACGACAACCGTAAGTCGGTATGGGAAAACAAAATATTTGTTTAATTGTTCAAAGTTCATAGTCAATGTCATATGATTATAGACAAGGAAGATAAGAAATTAAATATAAAGAGTAGCCACTTTAAATGACAGAAATTCTTTTAGTTAAATTTGCTCATGATTTGGTCTTTTCGTAATACATTGTGCCAAAATACTCTTAATTATTTACTTTCATGTCATTACTAATCTCACATAAGGTCAAAAGTTGTACAACGTTTAACATATATGATTATGACATGTTGTATCCAAACATTTCCAAACAAATCCAAGCTTGGAAATATGACCTTGCCAAATATTGGGATGGTCATATTTCCAATTGGAATGGTGGTATTTCCAAGTTTTGGATTTTTTGGAATGGATGATATTTTGTCCAGTGACAAGTCAATGAGCCCTGCTATCATGGAGCATAACCCTCCTTATTGTGATACTTGTAGATGTATTCCTGATCCGTCAGTTAAAAGAAATAAGTTGTTCTTAAGACAAGCAAGAAAAACATCATTTTATGCAATAACTTTACTGGCTTGATCAATACCTCTAAGTTTTTTACAATATACTGTATATGATGATCAGTGTATTAAATAAAATGACATTTAACAAGCATGCTCATGATCACTGCACGATCATTTCATATTTAGCTACTTTATACCTCTGGGTAGATTTGTAATACTGCAACACGCACCATGGGCCTGTGCCCTTAACAGCAGTAAGTTTCTGGTTTTCATAAAATAGTATAATAATTGATCTATGAATTACCAAATAACTGAGTATGTATGCTGCTTATTGTCAGTTACAGGAAGCCGATTTTTTGCAGATCTCTCTTAAGTCCTTCCTTCTGTTGTGCTGTGATTGGTAGAAGTGGAAGACGGACAGGTCCAAGATCCAATCCCAGCAGTTCCATTATAGCTTTGACAGCAGGCATCCCGCCTCCTTAAACAAAATGTGTATGGAAAAATAGTCGGTGGTACTTGCAAAGTAACACGTATTTATGATAGATAAGCTTATTCTGTGTTAGTATAATAAGGGATAGAAAGAAACGTGATTCCGAACTAAAACGTACGCACCGTGCTTTGCAGTTATCCGTGCAAGCTGCCTGGCAAATTTCTGAAAAATAATCATCAACGGATTACATATTGTTTACGTACTGCCTTCAAAACCAAAGAAACTGTTGTTCTATATACAAAAGCAAAACAAACCGATAAACATCGGTTATCAACAGAGGCCAGTATTACCAGAATCTAAGTACGCTAAGTATTCCTTAAACTAGAAATTACATTGCATTGAACTAACCTTTTTTAAAATGCACATTTGTTATTTCCATATCGAATGATTGAGTGAGTATTGTTCTACGCCGCTTTTAACACTATTCCAGCGATACCAAGGTGTCAAGGCGCTGGACGCCAGAAATGGGCTTCACACATTGTACCCATGTGGGGAATCGAACACGGGTCTTCGGTGTGACGAGCGAACACTTTAACCACTGGGCTACCCAACCGCCGCTCCATATTAATTTATCCACAATTGGAAAACAGTATGTAATTCTAAAGACACCTGTTAAATTAAGCATGCAAAAAGCACATTTTCGTCTTATTGTTGTAAATATTCTACTGTATGAATAGAGATCTATAAAAATCGAAAGTAAATATAAATATAATTGACAGTAACAGTAACAGTTATTTATGAGGTGCATTACAATTTGTGTATGGAAAAAGTCTATACCTAATAAAAAATGTAATGGGTGCTGAAACGAAACTAATATGAGTATAACAATCCGTAATTTAGCAAAATGAACAAGAAATGGTAGGTTATCCAAACCTGTTGCTGTTGAGCCGTGTCCATATCTCCGTTTCTAAATGCGGTACGGAGTTTGTCAAACGTAGGTCCAATGTAGCCATTCAGTACTGGCACGTCTACTCCAATAGACAGTGCTGTGAGGAATTGCTGGAAAGTATTAACACAGACACATTCTGTTGATTTTCAAACATAGTAGTATATAATTACGTGAGTGCGTAATAAAGTGTGGTGAAATTGTGTTTTGTGTCGCATTCATTAATGTCACCATGGGTTTATCGCGCACGTAGCCACCCACGCCTTCAGGATACCGCGTCAAAAAATACATCAGGGAAGACATTGAATCTGGGTTTACATGATTTTTATTGACATGAATTTTTACTTAAATCCATTCGGAAGAGAATTTATGGATGTCAACATCTTTATTATGAGGAACACAATGTTTCCGAATATATGCTTACTCCTTCACCTGATGGAGTAGGCATATGCTCCGAAACATTGTGTTTCTCATAATAAAGAAGTTGACATCCATAAATGGTCTTCCTCGTGTGTACCACTTCTGAATGCCTTTCAAAAACTTTAAATCCATTCGACTATAAGTGAGTGGCAGAACATGAATGTGATAACATCCATATCACATTAAGCTTTCAACTAGCAATATATGATATAATACAAATCGCATCTGTTTCAGAATTGAAGTGTCATGTGAGCAGGGATCAATTTTTACTACGTGATACACCGCGTCAAGGCCCATCTTTATACCAAGTACACCTACGGATTTTACATATGACGAGGGTAGTTTTCAGCGGGCCTTAAACCAATGCTCCACCTCGACCCGAGCACACACACACAACCACCTCCAAAGGACACACAACAAGGACTGGCCGGCTCGGAGTCAGTTTAATGTTTCTGTATAGGGTATAATGATAAATCGCCACATGGTATCTCCGTTGGCGAGCACTACAAAAAAGGCCTAAGTCCACTCACTCACTCAAAGGTACACTCACTCACGTTTGTTTACTCCTTTACCTCATCAGAGCCAAGCATCACTTGGAACTTTCCTCCACAGCAACTTTTACAATCCAGTAAATATGGAAGCTCCCTGCATGAAAATTTGAGTCCTCTGAGGTTGGGAATCCGACTGCCTGCCTTCTCAAGGAACTCGGCACTGTTCACTGAAAACAATTCGGTGGTTGAAACTAAACATGTGGGTCAATATCTGACTGAGTTCGCACACGTTTAGTATATTAACCAGTTTGGAATTAAGTTACTGAAATTAAAGCTGAAACGTTCTAGTTAAGAGATAAACATACCGTGTTTTCAATTAATAGCTAGGTTACCTGTAGATTAACCGCGCAAAATTGAATTTTGAACCGGCTTGTATCTCAATTTTAACATGATTAAACAAAAGGCGATCTCTTTGATGTTAGCAAATACATTGAGTGAAGCGGAATGGGTTGAGTCCAGTGTTTTGGGTGGGTTGGCAATCAGAATTTACGGAATCACTGACAACAGCCTTTAAACAAAATATGGTTCTATATGCACAAGCAGTTTGTTCACACCGCAAAACTCCACTCGAACTTGTAACAGACACTGATTGCATGTTGCACGGCAACTTCGTAAGCTAAGATGAGGCGGGCACCGCCAAAGAAAACTAAGCAAGCCTTCCAAAGGTTTCGTTCTGCACCGCACATCACTATAACGGTATATTGCTCATTGTGACGCAAGAGATATGACATCATTGTCGTATATAGAAATGCATCAAATAGCGAGCTCTCTTTGAAGATATCTTTCATGTTTTCTGCACGAAATGTGTTGTTTGTTTGTTTGTTTAACGCCGGACTTAGCAATATTCAACCTATATGACGGCGGTCTGTAAATAATCGAGTCTGGACCAGACAATCCAGTGATTGACATAATGAGCATCGATCCTCGCCTTTGGGTCAGCGCGTCTGACCACCTGATCTCGTAAGTCGCCTCTTACGACAAGCATAGTCGCATTTTATGGCAAGCATGGGTTGCTGAAGACCTATTCTACCCCGGATCTTCACGAAATGTATTGCCTCACATCCTTTGGATATTGTAGTAACCGTCAAATTGGCTGTTTCAATCAGAGGGAGTTTATTGTGATTTGATACCTCTGATTGACCAATCATAATCAAATATTTCACAAATAGAATTACTAGTATCTTCAATCATTTTGGTTTTTTGGATTACTTACGGTATATTCCTGTCATGAAGTTGATATCGTAAAGATAGAATGGAAGGTCGGGTGCACATGCAGCCACTTGCTCCATGTAGTCAACAAGAGCATCTGAAATATGTGAATACATGTACATCGACGTAGGGAATCTGACACGAGTGAACAGAGCATCTAAGAATAATGTAAACATGTAAATACGATTAAAATAAAGTGAACATCTAAAAAATGTGAAACATCGCGTACAACGATCGTGCATGCTTATTTGTCGATTATGGGAATTACATAAACGTACATATCGAAACCTTTTAATGTTCGCTTTATATATACTATAACTTCCGCCTATGTAACAAGCAATTACGAACTGTGCGAGCAAATATCTGACGAGTGGACACTCATGCACATGTGAAATCAGGTCTTACCAACAGAGTCTGGCTTGACGTACGATGGTGCAAGACACGCAATGGCCGTCACGCCAACCTGCTGACAATGCTGGGCCTATCAAATGAAAGTTGAAAGTCGAATGTAACCCATAGTTTTCACATGACAAAAATCGCCCACGCCTGTGCGTGTATTGGGCATAACTCGTTTTTAAAAGGTATGTAGGTTGTGCAAATTCAAAATGACCGCGCCAGAATAAGGCTCGATTATCTATCGATAAAACACATAATATTGATATATGAATGGAGCACTGGAAATTACACCAGGTGTTCTTGAAAAGGGTAATTGGTATAAGTATGTCCTACTCTTCTAGTAGCACCAGTCACTCAGAATGTTCATAGAAATTAACGTGGAAGCAAGCTGAATCTAACGCAGATTGGAGACGTCTACCCGTTTGATGAAACACGGGTATTGTACTGTGACAACATTTACATCATCGTGGACGGAAATACATTGTGAGATAATTATTGCTGGCATGGAACTTTTCAAGCATTCGGAACATACCACGGGCAAGGGAAATAATCTCGGATTATTGTAGATAAGATACTAACACGGCGGACGAAAACTTACCAGTTCCTTGGTAGATCGTAGATTTTCTGTGCCAACTTGTACTATGACGTACTTTAATCTGCAGTACAACGATCAATAATTAGGCATGTGTCAGAGGAAGAAAGATTACAGTAGTCATCAGTGTGTTGATTGTTGTCAGTTACTGAATACAATGGGTTCTCTTATACACCATTTCCTGTATCGTGGTTATGCTCAAACAGACTTTTCCATAAATATCGATTAGGATATAATTGGTTTCTAAATTTCAAGACAGTGTGATCATTGTGACATCTGTAAACATAGACGAGGAATCGGATATGTTTCCTTATAGATCTAGTACGGTAGCTTCAGAGGATGCAAAGCGTTTGAGAGACAACTGAAGGATGATGAAGAACTACAAAGAAGATCGGGGGACACTAACTTGTTCCTGCAGGCTCGAACCCAGGATTCCGCTGCTTGTTTTCGTTCTGCGACCGTGAGTGACATGCCTTCCCCCATAGTGCCCAGGGCTAGTTATTGAAACAGAAAGTATTACTCATCAGGTTTGAATGATAACGATATTTGAATACAAGCATTGTAGCGATTCTTAAAGTTGATTGGTCAGTCGAAGGAATATGACGTCATCGAATCGTACGCTATTAAACCGCCTAGCGTTTCGGACAGATAATTGTCTAGTTATCTGTTTGCTTGTTTAATCACGGCGGCTGGGACCAACGAAGAGCACACAAGAAAGGAAAGGGTTGGTGGGTAGCCTAGAGGTAAAACAGTTCGCCTGTCATGCCGTAGGTCGGGTTCGATTCCCCACATGGGTACAATGTGTGAATCCCATTTCTGATGAAAAGCTGGAATATTGCGGAAAGCGGGTTAAACTCAACTCACTCTCTTAGCAAATGACAAGAAGATATGGAGGCGTCGTGACTATACACGTCCGAGGTCCGAGTGAGTATGGTTTTACGTCGTTTTTTAACAATATTCCAGCAATACCACGACAGCGGGACACCAGATATACGCTTCACACATTGTACCAAAGACGCTTTAACCACTAGGCTATCCCACCGCCCCTCTCTTAAGTGAATGGACATATGTGAGCAAAGTAGCCCAGAAATGTAGAAATGTTGACACGGGATATTTTACGCGAATTAATGCTGACGGACGAACAATGGTTGATCAATATTGGGTAACAATGATTGTAATTGCGTTACATTGTTTCTGTACAGATATTCGGTAGACGCTCATTGCTTTGTATTTGGGCAGTGATTAGTCGTCAGGAATGTAGTACTAATAAATTGGAAGCAGTCGTCAGTAAGTTACTATATTTAGATGCAAGAGTGGTGTGGTAACTTCCGGAAACGGCGAGACTCGTCCAGCATTGTACAGAGACTTACAGCACTGTCTAGAAAGTGAAGGGAGCTAGTTGGACGGTACATAAGGGGACAAGAGCATGCCTCACGCATCTCTCACACATTTCATCTCTCCCGCATTTTCATCACGTCAAGATGTGAGGATCGCTCATCATCCCTGATTCCCTGCGGAGTCCATCTCGGAAGGTTGACCATTGTCACCGCTGAGTGAATATATATTATTATCAATGACTTTTGCTGTCATCACTACATTTTTGTTTTTGATACTGACCACTGCCATCGTATTATTTACTGTCATTGAATATTGTACTACTCTCCTGTGTACTGCCATCGTATTATTTACTGTCATTGAATATTGTACTACTACTCCACTGTGTACTGCCATCGTATTATTTATTGTCATTGACTACTGTACTATCACTCTGTTGTTTACCGCCATTGAAATTGCCGTGCAGTAATTTGTATCGATATGTAAACATTGAATTTTGTAATACATTTGTTGATTGTATACCGCTTTTTGTTTGTTGGTTTCACACTAAGTTCTTTAACGTACATATTTCTGGATTAACATATTGTTTCAATTTGGGAATCGACACTATTTATACCGATACATTTATGTAAGTGTTATTTCAGAGATGACAGACGAAACCGGAACTCTAGGGTAGGCTTGTGGTTGAGGCGTTGGGTCGTAACGCCGACAAATAGGGTTCGATTCCTCACATGGGTACATTTTGTGAAGCCCATTCCCGGTGTCCCACTGCCGCGATATGTAGCTGGAATGTTGCTAAAATGTTGCGGCGTAAAACCCTTCTCACTCTCTCTCGCTAATTGACAGACGACACAACGTTAAGCATTTATTCGTTGAATCGGCCGTAAAATGTGAACCATACATCCAACGTCACTGTAAAACAGGACACGCTCTTCTTACAAAAATAATTGTATATTGCGGCGCTTGTGAAGCTAATATCAGGTTGGAATCAGCATTTTCTCAAATATTACCTATCAGACATTTGACCATTACCACACATACTTTGCAGGATTTCAAATGTTTCCATATGTCATTGGGGAAACAATACAATCATTATTTGTGGAGAAAAAAGCAAGGTCTTACAAGGGCGTGTGTATGACAGGCACAACTGCGGTATGAGGCGATAAGCTGACTCAATGTCTGTATGTGTGACGGTGATTACGTCAATTGTGTCAGCCTACAGCAGCGACTTATCGGTTGTGCAAGGTCGGCATGAGCCCCCGAGTAAGATTAAAGTTACTTGCCTTCTGCGCTTTGGTTATTGGGTAATGGGAGAAATTCGACTGAATAATTATGGCATCCAGGTCGCATTACGTAACTGTTTATTCTCATTATGTATTGGAACGATTGCTAATATAATTTTGGAGACAAATCATCACGAGAACATTAACATGTTAGACTCTACAGTGAGTGAATGTTAGTTTACATCACAATCATTCATTTTCAAACTATATTATAATATTACAGTGATAGAGTCTTCGCAAACAAATCGGTAGGTTACATCATATGCAAGGTTCCACCCGATTGGACCAAGTAATCACACATTGTAGCCCCCCGGTCCTCGTTATAAGGGGGGACTAGGGACCTGCCCAAGAACCCAAATAGCGGTCTTTATGAAGTCGGCAATCAGGGACTGTCGAACCTGGTCGAACGCGTCGGTGTCAAGGACTCATGCGTCAAGTCGAATGTGTGACTGTCCGAGTGATGATCACGCGAGGGCTGTCCTTTCCCAGGCGTCATTTTGTTAATTTAATCCCTATCAAAACTTGGAAGACAGGGTCCATTATTCCAAGTTTCAGCACGGCGGTACTTTTAATACGGCTTGCAATTTAATGTTGTTACTAAACATAAGCGGGAAATCCCTTTCCACTCTCAAAAGACATATCAGAACCAATTGTACGATTACGACGATTGCGATCAGCATGTGTCTGTGAATCACTATCAAAAGGTGATGATACCGGGTGTTCGAGGGAAGTTAAGTGTAAACTGTCCCACCTGCGGCACCTGTCCAAACACATGCAAAGGCAAGTCAAATGTTCTCCTGAAAACATCCCGGAACACATGTTACGAGTTAAAATAGGAAAGTGCCTCGCACATCTAGCATCCACGGACGCTTTGATGTAATGATATACAGGATGGTATATACATTCAGGGAGGCGAATACATTCATTTTCACTCGGTACATTATACATGAAACTATCTTGACTGACATATACATACAGCTTACACATCCATCTCTGCACCTGTATTTGTAGGTAGATTGCACATGACGACAAAGACACATTTACAATACAATTATTAAAAGGCAACATGTGATAAAGTATTAACTCACCGAAAACACCATCGATTTTGTTGTTGACCAGAAAATCCACATATTTGTCCAATATGTCTGGATTGAGATCGCTGTTAAACAAGCAGCCTAGCTTTAAATTCGGATCAATCAATATTTCGTTGGCTATTGTTCAATTCGAAAGGTCATCTACCAACACAATGCGAATGCAATATGTTTTAATCGCCTAGTGTAGTTTAATCCACGTCTGTTTCACGGTGGGTACGTGCCTATGGTTTCACGTCACATTTGGCAATATTCCAGCCATATCACATGTAGGAATCGAACCCAGGCATCCGGCGTGACGATCGAGAGCTTTAACCACTAGGCTACCCCACCTCACCCTCCGCCCTCCCCCGTCCGTTTTCCAGTGGTCCAGAACTCTAAAGCTCATCTGATATTGCGTAGAAGGAGATTAAGATCAAAGTATGCAAAACCTTCCCAGCTTGAAAAAAGTAATTCACCAAAACATAATACGAGAGTAGCTATATTCTACTTCGCGTGACTAAGCGCTTCTCGTCCATCTACCCAAGTTCTACAGAGGACGCCATATAGAGGCAACTGATATCAGATAATGTAGGTGTGATGGATAACAAGTGATATTAGTTTATTTTACATATACTAAAATGAATTTCGCCATTTGTATTCAGAAATATCACTTTAATATCTGTATTGTAACGTTGCACAAGACGACTAAAAAGTTGACAAAAGACAACACTACTGCACATGCTGGACACCAGGCGTCCGCGATAAGAAGGAACATGTGTAGCCCCTGAAGATCTCAGGTACGGGCTCTTTAATACATTACCCGTTCTTTTTAAACGGTGTCAGGGGAGCTGTAATAGTGCCCTCAACCCAAAAATCTTGAAGTTTCTGAAAGGATACGAAAACTAAATTCATTTGAAATACAAGTTTAGAAATCATATTTCGGGGTCATATAATGCTCATGGAATATTCGCTACGTCCACGGTAGCTAGGCTGAGAGTAAGACCCACCTACCCCGCCTCTCTCTGTGTTGACCTTGGCTTATAGAGCCAAGGTCACCTGGCATAGATTAAGTCATAACTATAAGCAACAGAATTTAATCAGTGACATAGTTGCACAGCGCGTTCAGGGTGGCAGACTGCCAATATACAGTACAATGGGGATTAACAATTTGGGATTAACATCTTATAAATAACGTCAATTAAGTGATTAAAGACATATACATGTAATGGCTGTTCATTCAGATTGTCCCAAATCGGCCGCTATCACAATACCATTGAGGAGTGACCGCCTCCCTGGTCTATTGGTAGAGCGTCCTCCCAGAGAGGGGAAAGTCCGGTCCGGTCCGGGGTTCGATCCCCGGCCGCGTTATACAAAAAAAGTTAAAATATGGTACTTGTTGTTACCATGTCTGGCGCTCGGCATTCAGGGTCTAACACAAGGAATGGTCGGCTCGCGGTCAGTATACTGTGTCTCAGTGGGGTATTCATGGTATCGCAGTGTGCAAGCACTAGTACAAGCAGCCCCCTCACACACACATATATGCATGCACGTCGCTATACAAGTTCACGGGACGTTAAAATCTAATATCCCCTCACCTCATCATTGAGGAGACTAAGGCGTATTCCCTGAGAATCATGAGCAATAAGAAATAGAAGCGATAACTCGTAAAAGGTGTCGAGACTTGACCAAGATCAGAGGACGAAGATGGAGGTGTTATGTGACGTACAAAACTGTGCAGAGTTCAGCTAAACCAGCTGGACATGTAATTCAGTTGGTAATTTAACCTCAGTCTCATTTCATAAAATTTATAACATGAATTTCATTTGAAACGGTCTACTTACGGACATGATGAAACGAAATACGACCCGTTAGTCGTGTGTTGCCCAACAAGGTCTTGTACGTTGAAATGTCAGTAGACAACACTAATGCTCTCGACACAAATGAAGAGTCAGGTGATTATGATAAGACAGATGCCTGTGTTGTGGTGTAGGTCAAGGTCAAGTCCACAGATGTATGACATGCGAATTTCAACTGTTAATCCTTATCACCGTATGCAAAACGTCGCCCATTTACTGTCAGCCAACCTGATTGAGCAGGCATCTGTCACTTCTCAGGTGTCAGGTTGCAGTAGCACCTTGCCATACAAGTCTTGGTCCAGAGACGAAGATGAAATTCTCACCCTTAGCCTAGCTAGGGTTGGGCAGTACCGCTATGTTTGTTTGTTGTTTAACGCCGCACTCAGCAATATTCCAGCTAAATGACGGCGGTATGTAAATAATCGATTCTGGACCAGACAATTCAGTGATTGACATCATGAGCATCGATCCACGCAATTGGGATACGATGACATGCATCGACCAAGTCAGCGAGCCTGACCACCCTATCCCGTTAGTCACCTATGTATCATGGGAAGTCAGCTTGATGTGGGGGCATTGCGTTTGATACAGCATAATACAAGAGTGTGATTGTTTGACGTGTGTATTATCCTTGTGTTTACTATTGAAGGATTTAAGGGTATATTAATAAACAACGTTGTTGCATTTCACAAAGCAAGGCATTTCTGAACATTGCTTCCAGTTTTCTTGATAATTATTGTCCAACGTTCATAGAAATATGTACATGTGTCAGACAGAACATGCTATGTTTCAGACCATCATTGTACGCAAATAACATATTTCGAAAAATCGATACATTGTAAGGCTCCATGTTGGATAATGGGTGTGTCATCTGTAGCAGGATATCAACGTGATCATTACACATTGAAAATTTTCTGTTGATCAATATATAATTCCCCCGAACCAAGCCCATTTGCTATAATTACAAAACAAATATATGATAATATTATGTATTAAAGAGACGAAGAAGACTTTTTTCTGTATATATAATTCATTTTTTTTAAGTAATACATACACCATGTAATGTGTACTCATGTGAGGTGAGGTGAGGTGAGGTGAGGTGAGGTGAGGTGTGAGGTGAGGTGAGGTGAAATGGGGTTTAACGTCGCGTCCAAGATTAATGCACTTATATAGCGACGTGCATGTACGTGTGTGTGTTTGTGTGGCTGCTTGTACTAGTCCGGACCGATGCCGATTTAAAGTGCTAGCTCACTGAGATACCATGCCGCAGTTTAACATGAACACCCCACTCAGACACAGTATACTGACTCCGAGCCGACCAGTCCTTGTTTTAGCCCCTTAATGCCGAGCGCCAGACAAGTACCATCTTTTAACGTATTTTGGTATGACGCGGCCGGGGATCGAACCCCGGACCTTCCGCTCTCCGGGCGGACGCTCTACCATTAGACGACGGAGGCGGTCCGTGTACTTATGTAGTGGAGACTCGACTTGTGAAGATCCGGGAACAGGTCTTCAGCAACCCATGCTTGCCGTAAAAGGCGACTATGCTTGTCGTAAGAGGCGACTAACGGGATCGGGTGGTCAGACTCACTGACTTGGTTGATACATGTCAGCTTTTCCCAATTGCGTGGATCGATGCTCATGATGTCAATCATTGGATTGTCTGGTAGACACGATTGATTATTTACAGACCGTCGTCATATAGCTGGAATATTGCGGAATGCGGCGTTCTACAACAAGCAAACAAATATCATGTTGTGGGAAAACGTTGCGCTGGGTCCTACTATTGTTCTGCTGTCAGGTGTAGTATTCGCGTAGAGGATGTCGTAGATGCGTAGACGATGCACATCTATTGCCAGGGATGGTAGAGCTGTGGAAGTTTCTGCCCAGAATCTATGTCGAAGAAGCGTGGTTCGAATCCATATGTCTTGCCTATGGGGTGTTACCTACCTACCACTACGGGGACGGTGTCTGACTTGTTCAGTTGTGTTCCTGTGGACTTTGAATAGACGTATGAGGTCACGAGGCGAGGTAGCAGATTCAAACATTGTTATCTGTCGCCACCTGCCATTTTCACTTTGCTAGGCATGTAGAAATCTCATCAAAATGATCAGTAGCGGTGTTTTTCTTAACTCTTCTCTCTCGAAGATTCATTAGAGTGGGAATACTATTTGGTGGAATTACATTTTCCCTGTTTCGAATCCTAAAAATCATTTAAAGGTTTGTAAGTTAATAATAATTCACTTGAACATTTTTGCTTTTGATTATACATCTAATTGATTTTGAGAAGTAAATATACAGTAAACTACGTTTATAACGAACACGCTTATAACGAACTGGCCGATATAACGAACTTACGTTTTAGTTCCGGGCATTTGTTGATAAATGCTGTATATATGCTTATCACGAACTACGGTTATTACGAACTAAAATTAGTGGCCCCTCTGGGTTCGTTTTAACCGTAGTTTACTGTATATGGTTTACAGTAGTGTCTGCTTTGCCTTAGAGTGCACATATACACGCACGCACACACGCAAACACACACACGCACGCACACATACACGCACGCATACACATACATTGTACATACACACAGTCATCCAGCATGTTAAGATTCAGAGTGGTCGTCTGAATTCAACTGAGGTCAGACAGGGATGAAGTAAGCTACTTCCTGAAAGTGATGACTTCATTCATTCCACTAACAGCGCTTTGGATAATAGATGCTATCTTACATCGAGCCTGTACCATGTAGTTCGTAGAAATAGTTCCGGACGGATTGGAATGCTCTCGTACAAACACATACATCACCATCAAACTTGTTGTGTTTGTTCGAACGACCACCAGTGCCTTGGGTAATCCTTTCGGAACTCGCATTCTCACTTCATTGTCGCCAGACACATCACCACTTGTTGAGGGATGAACGTAGAAGTTATCCATTGACTAATAACATGAAGGCGTTGTTGTCACAAACTGGCCCTACGAAATGTTCCTTTGGTACATTGGAAAGCACTATGTATTTCGCTAAGATACACCATATTGATGTGAGGTTATTGATTTCCCTTGGGTTAGCACATATATGGCGAAAGGGGAGAAGCTTCAAGAAGCTTTCCAATGTTGCCGTTTATGGGACATGACCGCAGAGGTTATCTGACAGATGAGTGATGACATTCATCGTGACAGACACACTTCAATTTTAGCAACACTGATGAATCATCAGCCTGATTTTAGACTAAAAGACCCTGTTGAAGCGCAACTTCAGGTTCAAACCAGGGTCTATTAAGTTACACTTTTTGGTTGTCTACAACGTTCAGAAAAATGAAATATGATGCGGCGTGGTAATATCATGAAACTTGACTGAAGCTAACATCATAGACGCCTTGAACACAGACGCAGTTAACTTCAGCCTGAAACTTTTGTGTTCACCATGGATCCTGATTCACGCCTGTAATCACTGAGGTTTTGATATGAAAATAAAAGCGACAAAACATTTCAGTGATCATAAGAAATATCATCTCACTAAAGTGTATGTCCAGTGTATGATTCCGACTATATCATAGGTATATGTTCATGAATCCCATTCAAATAGTGACCATACCAGGTGTTCGCAAAACGGTGAGCGTATCCTGCCCCACCGGTGGCACTGGTCACAACATATGCATGTACATGTCAACTTTTTATCTGAAAAAGCTACGAGAAAATGTGGTAGAAGTCAAAGTCTAGGGCGTCTGATGCTGAGCCGAACACTAAACATTTAAACTCACGACAACATAGCGTTCCCATACTCAACATGCCAAATGCTTGGGACTTCTTAGCATTGTGTTTTCATGCCTGGAAGTTTTCATTTTTGGATGTGTTATAAAGTGGCTTTCTCTAGAATGTGTTATATATACTTTCTCTAGTATACTCATGCTGATAAGGTGTGTTGATTTTACGCGCGGGTGTCTTTTCAGCTGTATCATTTGTGCGGCATGTACTGTGCTACTTACGTTGTGGAATTATTTAGGTGGTGAGTTTGGTTTCTAACGCTGCTTTGTCACTTCAAATATAATGCCAAAATGTGTTAGACTACTTTGGGGAAATGTTTAATCTAATGTATACGTTAACCAATGAGGTGAAACTTTTGTACTGTCCTGGCAGACAAAGGATCACACTCGAGGCTAATCAGGAATTCGAACCCACATCAATGAATCCTGGCACAGATAAGGGACGAAACTATGCACAACGCTTGACATCAAGGCCAGCCATGTCCCTTGTGATCGAATCAGCACAAAGTGACACACTCAAACACACAATTCATCAATACTGAAAAGGTGTTATATCACGGCGTGCCTGGTGAATGTGGGAGGAAAGCCCAAACTAATGTATATCTCAGATGTTTGCCATTAGGGTATAGTGCAGACAAGCCTAGAAATAATGATATTATAATACCAATTAATTTATATAGCGCCTGTTAGGAGTCTATTGCCAATAGGCTTCTCTGAAGAGGTAAGATTAAAATAAGGACTGAAGATGTTAGAGTAAGTGGAAGATCTAAAGAAGAGAGGTAGTGAGTTCCACAGAGTGGGATAAGCGACTGAGAAAGATCTTTCACCCAAATGTATCAGGTACAGTGAAATACAGTTGACCGACATAGCGTAGGTTGCGACTTGGCTTGTGATTTAGAGTTTGAAGAGACTGTGGATCATGAATGGCGTTGTAGGTAATGTTAAGCAGTTTGAACTTTATCCGTTGTTTAACTGGCAACCTATGAAGTCTCTGCAGTACAGATGTGATGTGCTCTATGGATTTAGTTCTGGTAATGATACGGGTTGCAGTGTTCTGAACACACCGCAAGTGGGTAATTGCAGATACACCGTGTAACGAAGCGTTACAGAATTCTAGACTAGACAGAACATTGCTGGGACAAGTATCGTTGTGGTTCCAGCATCAGGATATTGACGGATTTTTCCAATGTTCCAATGTTGATTAGAAGGTTGAACAGCGGAATCACCAACCTCCAGTGATAATTGTGGAACTTCAAGAAGTTGTTGATGAGTTCCTAGAATGATGAACTCGATTACACAACTTTCCAGACTCTTTTTACATGTATTCACATTGACGGGTTTGATACCAAATTTTAACCGATTATCATCAGCATACCT